CTTCGGATTAACACCTCCTTTCGGCAACGCTTCTCTAGTATCCCGTCTCATCTGGCTGTAGTAAACGTTATAGTTTGAGTCATGGCTGCGACTGGAAATGTGAGAAAGAAAAGGAATGAAAGGTGAAGTAGAGTAGGAAGGAAGGTGAGTAGAAGGAAAAGGAATGTTAAATCAGCAACACTATCGCAGGAGCAAGTAAATTATATTACAACGCGTTTAAGACAAGAGCAGCAGGATCACAGTGACGAGTTTTATTTGGCTACATATGATTCAACTCATTTATCAATGAACGACGGAAACATACGAGCTTTGTCGAAGCAACATTAGCAGTCACTAAACGCGGGACAGTCGTGTTACTCGGTGATATGGCGCTAGGATTACCTAGAAGTACTCAATTTTTATCGCTTTATATCTCGGCATAGGAACATCGTAGAGACAAGCGGTTGATCTTATATTGGCTAGCTATGACTCCTGCATAATATTCCGGTAGAGAAGTATCAAAATAAGGTAGGTAAACTATTAATTTTGCTGAAACGACACCATGGTTTTTCTATATCAGCGTACGCTCTGGGGTTAATGCGCTCTTGACAATACTGCAGAATCGTCAAAATAAAACGGGGAAAGTTTATTAATTCGACTAATACTGCAACATGGTTTCAGCATTTCACTGTTGTACGCTCTCCTTCTTTATAAGCTCTCGTTACCGACTAACTATAACTTACAGTTGTAATAAATAGGTGCCCAATACCAGGAGCACATTTTCCTGTCATAGTACTCAATAAATCACAATTTAACAGTGCTATTCAGGGCTACCGCTGGCATTTTCCACCTTTGCAAAATTTGATAAATAAATGACACTCGCGAATACAATTGGCGAGTGATTTGACTGCTAAAAAATTACAATTGAATAATGAAATTGTCATATTTCAGTGTCGTGTAAGTACTAGCAAATTCCGAAACCTAGTCCTCTGGTGCAACTACCGTGCAACGGTGCAAAAACATAGTTTTGTATAAACTAAACTACATGATTTCATTTTTACTTGATTACGTTATCAAAAAGGTTTTCTTACATGTCTTTTCCCATACCAAGCACCTGTTTATGCCTTGCTTAGCACATAAAGTTAACAGTGGCTATAGTTTTTCAATAGTAGCTAAAAAATAGCTGGTGGCTCAAGTCTTGGATCAAACTTTAAAACATCCAGAGGCAGCCCTGCTATTGAGCATGTGTACTTTACTTCAAACTTCTCTTAGTAATAGTTTGCTTGATCCTTGTCTCTCTTGTTATATTCGTATCAGCTATGTACTGTACTTATGTAATATGAGCATCATGTTGTAAGCGTAATCTGTTTGTTTGTGTTTGCATTGGTTATACATATATTCATGGCATAAAATTAGCCAAAATGTGAACAGGCCCACCCAAAATTTTAACCAGGCCCTGGCCCTTAGACAAATTGAACAGGCCCTTACAAGTTTTAACAGGCCCTGCCCTTAATTTTGTTCAATTTATTCCATTATTAATAAAAGTATTAGCTTTGTATTTATTAGGCATACTCGTAGAATTTCAGTATTTCATTGCCAACACTGGAGTTCTACTTGTTTGACAGGAATTGCTGGAACATGATTTACTTCTTGGTTGTTCTTAGTAAAAACTAGTCTGGAAATTGGTAAATATTATTGATATAAAGGCAAGATAGGTAAAATTTTGAATAGGCCAAGTGGACTGATTATATGGCGGGTCCGGTTGAACTGGCAGTTTAGGGGGTTGAACTGGCGGCCACCGGCAAAATAGCGCTAATTTCGCGCACTGTATATTTGTATATACTTGACTACAGTCCTTGTTTGCCATTCATTAAAAATCTACTAGATGCACCTGTTCGCACACTGTTTTTATTCTTCTGTCTTCATTTTATTTCATGTCCTATATGATTATTGCACCTGATGTGTATGTTTATACTTCTGGTCTGTACTGTTACATCAAATAAATAATTATTTTGAACTTTTAGGTTTTAACTCTTTGTTGTATTCTAGATATGCACAAAATGTAGTTGTCTTCACTCCATGATTAAGATTTCTTTCATACCCAACTGTGTAACGAATAACAACCAAGCAAAGTTCAGTAGTTAAAAATAGATCAAATGCTGGTGGGCAGAAACTTGACCCTGTAGATAACGATTTTGAGCATGACAGATTGTGCGAGTAGTGCATTTAGAATTCTTTGCATTCCGTAAAGTAAAATGTCATTTATTGTTTTTTAGGGTTTACAGTGTGATGGCATTACACCAGCTTATTAATGATAAGGGAAGGAAGATGTGAAGCATGCAGGGAATTAATGTAGGAGGGCATTCCACCCAGTTTTCTGCAATGGCGCAGGATGGGCCATCTTGCACCACCTATTTTGATGACAGGCTATACCACGACCTCAGAATTCGTTTTCCTGACATTCCTGAGGATGTTATAAAGTCATACATCAACAAGGTATGAAATAGTTTAAGAGGTAAATTTAGAAGTTTTATTTCAGCAAGGTATTCTTATATTAGCAAGAGATATATAGGATTTTATGATGTATCATGAATCTGCAATATGTGGTGTAGGCTATTTGCGTGAACCATCATTTAGTTGCAGCTGTACTATTGCAAGAAACATTCAAATTAATCTCAGAAGCCATTATAACTGATAATTAAAAATGAATGTTTTTTATTAGCTGCTGTTTGTGGTGTACTGATGACAGTGTTGATGTGAATTTTATTTAAAAAAAAAAAATTTTAAGATGCATTATTGTTAATTACTGTGCATTTAGTTTTACTTGCAAATGTTTAATTGTCTCTCAGTATGCACTTTAAACTTTTATGTAGTGATCTCATACGATGTTTTTAGATGCTTAGAGTTTCTGCAGAAATGTAAGCGTCCTATGTCAGTATGTTCGCCTGCACACTAGCATCTATTCGACTCTGACGTGAATGCCGCTTGTCTTTACAGAGCTTTAATAACAGGGAGGAATGTGAGCAGCAGCTGTGCCGCTACATGCGCCACCAGGGGGACGCGGCGGAGCAGCCGCTCGGCCAGCACCAGCTGAGGCATGGCCTGCGGCTGAACCTGAGCGATGCGGCGCGGGGGCGCCAGTGGAAGGTGAGCCCGGCGCAGGGGACGCCGCCGCAGAATGCGCTCGTCAATCCGACGGATCTCATGCCGTTCCTGAGCTCTGCACGCAACCCGCAGAACACGACGAGCATCGCGTGCGTCAACTACGGTCCGAGCATCGGCGACGGGGCCCCGCGACGCCACCAGACCCCCTACTCGCCGACGACGGGCCGCGTGATGGCGCAGGTCAGTCTCATGGAGCGGCAGGGGGCGCCACCGCGGCCCCAGTACGGCGGCGGCGGCAGTGACAGTCCGGGCGGTACGAGGCAGCCGGTGTTCAATCCGAGGAACGAACCTCAAGTGCTTGAGCCGTTTGCGAGCGCTGGCGTCACGCACCCTCCACGGCTGCGCGTGGACCAGCAGCTGCTGTCACCATCGCGGTCTCAGCACAGCGCGTTGCACCTGCGCATACCGACCGACTACTCCAGACCTCTCTTTGTCAACACGGCGACATCTCCGACCCAGCAGACTACGACGGCTGCCGGCGCCACCTACACGCAGGCCAGTACGGCCTACACGTCAAACGTCAATATTGTGCTTTCGAATCCGTCGACGCCAACGACGCAGCCGGTGAATGCTGTTCCAGGTGGCAGCACTGCTGCAGGTCCAACACTGTACCTTGAGCATAGTGGAGGAAGCTATGATAACCCCACGTACGATCTGCCAGAGCTCCCCCCTCGATTGCCAGCTAACTCTAATCAACAAAGCCCGCAGGTAGTGTCAGCCTTTGCTGCTCAGGGGGCAGCACCACTTCCTATCAGCAGTAGGGCGACACAAGATGATGCATACACACAAGGTATGTATTGCTTGTCATTAGAGTTCCTATTTGCAATTACCTGAGCTGTATACACTAGGCCTGAATTCAATTAAGCTGTCGGTCTGAGTAGGATCACTATGCTTACCTTAAGTGTTGTTGCTAGGTCGGTCCAGCCCACCAGTTTGCAGCTGACCGGCAGACGTACTTTTCATGCATACAGTGTAGACTCGTGGCACTTTACTAATAAGCAAGATTGCTCCTATCACAGTGCTGATTGGCTAGACCTATCTGTCAGTCACACCCAGGAAAAACATGACTTTTTTTTCACGAGAGCTCTTTTTCAAGTCTGTGGGAAAAATAGGTCTTGTCAAAAAATGTTACGGGAGCTATTTTCAGCCTCACGGGAGCGATTTCGCAGGTTTGAAGAGTGAATCGCTCATTGTTCCCGTGTATTTTTTACCCTGGTCACACCAGATGGATTAAGATTGAAAGAAACCATTGAGATGGGCACAGCTTTATGGTCATTTACCTGTTACCACGTTATGATATTGTATAGCATTTAGTACTGATCTATTGAAAAATTGCTATTAGATTGGTACTAGATGATGAAATTCATTAAGAACTACCTTGTCTAAATTTGTCTAAATTAACAAACCTCATTTGTGTTATTATATTTCTACCTGTGATATCATGACCAATTAGAACACATGCCCTGCTATTTGATTAGCCGATACGCAAGTGACAAGGGTTGCAGTTTTCTGCCATTTTGGGTAGTAGTTTGTTACCAAGAAGTTATCACATATCAGTAGCAGTAACTTTCAATTAGTGCAAGCTCTGGTCATTCATTGCACAGGAGGAATGACATTAGGCAAAATTTAAAAGCAAAGTAGTGTGATTGTTATATATTTGGAAAATATTGGATTATTTGACTACATTACAAGTTTGTGTGCTAGAATGTTTCAACGTAAGCGATGGGCAGGAATATTATTTGCGACCTGCTGCAAATTTTCCAGCTCTACTCCTACGCCAGAGAACACGCAGAGAGCGATTGCAGACTAAGCTAAGCACGGCCAGGAAGGTGTTGCTGGATCTCAGGAATGATGTCGGCGAACTAGAACAAGCCGTGCTACAAAGGCAGAACCCAGACCAGAACGTGGGTCTAGCAACGGTAGGGTTTATGCACACACGCATTGTAACACCCATCCAGTGATAAAACATTCATGTGAACTAACCTAGATCTCAAGTCATAGGCATCTATTTGATGCATGATTGCACACAAGCAGAGATAATGCAATTAAATTTATTTCAAATGTGCTCTTGGTCTACTGCTGCATGTTGTTATATGCGGGTGATTCCCTTTGTATTGATTTTCTTGTTGAGGTAAAACATGCGGTTCCTTAGTGTTTGTAATTAATACGAAATTATAAAGTGATCAGGTCATTGCTTCTGTCGTATGTATGGGTAAGTACTTATTACTCTAGCAAAGTTTTCTCTTTCTGCAGATCGAAGAGCTTAAGGCATTACGTCGGCAAAACACTCAACTGAAGATAGAGGTACAGTGCATGACCAAAGAAGTTGACATATCCAACAGAAGAGAGCGTAAGTAAACTCCCTATTTTATAGCTGAGCTTGTCAAGCTGAGCTATTGCTATGGGTCGTCGTCCGTCAACGATAACTCAGGAACCGTTTGACCCACATGTTTGAAATCGGGTATAGTTGTTACTGCTATGCTCCCATATTGAACGTCCTATTTTGGAGCACGCCAGTCGGCATACTTTCGAGCCACGGCAATTTTTTGGCAAAAATGGGAATTGCCATTAGTCAGTTCAGGTTCAACGGATTTTGCTCATTTTTGGTATGTGAATGAATAAGGGCTAGGGGTTTTTTATATTTAAAAAAAAATTACGCAAATTAGGTAGGTTTTAGCAATTATATAGCATATTATATAGACACGCAGATAACAAACAGTCTGTGGTGTCACACTCGTCTGGTTCGTTTTACAAGATTTCATTGACAATATCTTTAATGCAAAATTGGTTTTTCCGCTCTGCCCTGCCGATAAAACGTCTATATTAGAGCAAAGTTTTACAAAACATGTCGGAACGCAGCATAACCTATTTATTTCGAACGACATCGCTAAGAAACATCAAAGCAGGTATAGCGCCATCTACCGTCACAAATTGTGATTCATTTTGGTTTATAAATTATTATTGCGATATACAGATGGCAACTGTGTGCTACCGCCTAGAAAAACTCATACGAAATAAACACTTCCATGCAACCAATTAACCTTTGACAAACGTTGTGTTATGGGCAGGGAAACACCATTGTCACGTGGTATATAGCAGCTACGTGGAATAAGCGTATCCTCTCAATCTTACACGTTACACATCGGGAGCTCCGCTTTTAGGCAGTGCCTAAATCTGAATATTATAAAAACGTTAAATGGCGATCATTTAGGTGTAACGTCATCACTCGCCCACATCTCAGACTTTCACATCTCAAACATTTATTTTCACATAAAAAATTACACATAATTATCAAGAGTATATAATGGGAGTTCTCCCATATATACTTTTCGTTTCTATAATGTACGTCGATGGTTGCTCAATTAAAACTGACTTCTTTTCACTCACTCATTTGTGTCCTTTTTTTGTGGTGAGCTACAGTGTCATTGACACTTTCATTTTCTTTATGACAGTGTTTGCCTTTTACTTTAATAACCGCAGCGATGGTTGAATGGTTGAGTGCTTGCCTCGCATGTGGGTTCGACTCCCGACCAGGTCATACCAAAGCCTTAAAAAATGGTACATACTGCTTCTCTGCTTGGCACTCAGCAAAAAGAGATGGAGTGTGGAAATGGTGTCAAGAAGAGAGCCTGCATGCGGCGGCACCTGCCAGTGAAAACTGTGAATGTCTTCATGTCTTCATACCTGCCCAGTAGGCACACGCCGGAAAAAAAACTCAGCTTTAGAATGAAGTCCAAACCCTCTGTTTTAGCAATCACATGACCTGTGTGCTTCCTGTTGCAGCAAACTCTACTGGTCAGTCACCGAATCCAGAGGAGGATGAAGGTCCGGAGTGGGCTTGCTCGGCATGTACCCTGCGCAACCATCCTGCCCTGAAAAGCTGTGAAGTGTGTGAAATGCCACGCTTTGCCCAAGGTACATCCCCACGCCCCGTCTGCCCGGAAAACCACCCAGCAGGCAGCTGCTACTGCCACCGGCCTGCGGTTAGCACGCACTATGTGCAGATCTCTTGATCGCAATTGCTTAGTTGTTGTGATCAGTATTGCAGAATGCAGGAGATCTTAGATTGTTTCAAGGTCAGAGGTGCTCAAGATATGTTCCACGAGTTGGTAGCATATCAATGTCAAAAATGGTGTATAAGCTCTAGCTATTTTGTTCGAGTACCCTTTTTGCTAGAACCAGACTGGAATAGATGTGTCTTGGTATTTGTAATTGCGGTGTGATTATGTGTATAGGAGAAATACCACCACCTCACCTGATTTTTCATTGATAATTACTACATATTTTGCAGAATGTCACAGGATATAGCACCCTCATTGTGCTAGTGATCCATAATATTAATATTTCTGATGTAATAGTGTTAAAACAAGATTCATGGTTAAAAAGAATCGAGGTATGAGAACAGATGTGCAAGTAGTGCTTTTTTAATGTCCCTAGAAACTTGAGCAATTTTGTTAAACATATTTTTAAAGTATAGCTGCATGGCTGGAGTCACACATAGCACCATGTGCTCATTTACATCCACACAGAAAAGGCATGATACACAAGTTACATTTTTGTCCTTTCCTTATTTTATCACTGCACGTCTGCAGTGGAAGTTTGTCACGGTATCATTTTGGTCGTCTAAACGTTTACAAATGTTGTTAAATGTTATGCATTAATAGTTTTGTTTTGTTTTCTCTTCTTTGCACTAGGTCCCTGATGTGTGTGATTCAATTGGCGCTAGTCTGATCCCTTCCCGCTGCATGTGGTGTGCTTGTTCTGTGGCCTCAGGCCCTGCATAGCAGGCCATGGGGCAAGCATGACGTCATCTCCCTCGTTGATCATACCGTGTGTGTACAGGATTCAGTTGACGATCATCAGGGCAAACAAGTGCCTTTGTAATTTTTATAAATTCAGTTAATAGGAACGTTAACCATCACTTTCATCTAAGAGATTTTTGTGTAGGCGTCATAGACTTATTTACTAATCAGGTGCCGTTTTAGTCACAATGTTTTGCTTGCTTGTTTGAGGGAGGGAAAGAGTGAGTCCTAGAGCCATAACTGATAAAATGCGCCTTCGTATTTTACTAAATTGCAATTATTTTAATAATTTCAATGGAAACTATCTTCTCATTCTCTTGGTGCTTATTCTGCTGACTATGCAATAGCATTGCCAACAAACTGATGAGCTGTTTATCTCTGCACAACTGCTTGTACCATATAGATCTGCAAACTAGCTCGTCTAACCCCAGTACTGTGTACTGATGCCTAATCCTTATTGTGAGGTAGGTATGTACCTACTCGTGTTTGAGGGACTCGAGAAATGTGAACTGTATAGCGCATAGCCATAGGGTTCGCTGGCCTATTGATGTACGTGTATCTGTGCATGCAACATGTGCTGTACACTTGTTTCTATAACCTAAACTCGCACCTGTTGTCACGTTAATGAGCAGTGTGGATGGGAAACTAGTATTAAGTCATGTTAATTGTGTATTATTTAATGAAAGTTTTTTGGTACACGCTTGATTCGTCAGTCAATCATGAATTCAAACCATTAGTATCTCCAAAGCATATCGTATCTACATGAACTGCAACCAAAGATCTGCAATGGCGATTTTATCCAGATGGTCCCTATCTGCAGTGCAGTGTAGGAGTGGTTGCCTGTGATTTTGAGTAACATATTTTGTGCATGCAACTGTGGGGTGAATAATATTCGGTTCATTGCTCGGTCTCGGGTTTGTAGTCTAGCACCATCACAGCTAGATGATCGAGGTGAACTGGCCCTATGAATGCTGCAGCATCGTAAACGTGTTCAATGTTTATCTCGGTTGACAAAACTCAATTTAAAAAAAGGAAATGATGAAGTGTTTTTAACCGAGTGTTTGCTCTCAAAGCAATAGCCAAGTCAATTATTGAGAGATTTTAAAATTCAATCTAGAATATCCGATGTGTCTGACTCGACACGGTCAAAATAATTTATATCCAATAACCCTTGTTAGAAACCCAGCATGCATTACAGGAGTATATTTATCGTACTTAAAGAGTTACTGCCTTGCCATGTTATCTAAGTTTGGCTCATAGGGTCTATGTCCCCCAGGGTACTGCTGGAACGTACCCTGGGTACGGTCTGGTATACTGGAACATACACTGGTAACTATTTGATATGGTTAGGGATAGGGAGTAGGCGTAGGCGACTCCCTAGACTCGTTAGTGGAGTAGGCGAGGTACGGTCCGGCATATTAGATAGTACCAGGGTACGGTCCGGTACCCAGGGTACGTTCCGGCAGTACCCGGGGGGACATAGACCCTCTCAGCCTAAGTTTGGTGTCTGGCATTGCAGCTTTTGAAGATTTCTCGCGTGACACGTTATTCTGTGTGACGCATATATAACAGGATAATGAATGTGACACATGTATGTGATAAATTTAAAAGAGAAGTCCATGCTATTTGCATTTGTGTGAGTTGATCAGTCATTAAAGTGAGTCGTTTTGTGCCAGCTGAGGTAAGAGACTAAGCTACGTTAGGTATGTCAAACAAGTATTAAATATATCATTCTATCTGCGTGACTTTTCCCTTGTCGTGTTGATATGATGAGCATCCTTTTCATTTACCCTGAGGGTAATAATAAAAAGGAATATGTGAAAGTCGTCACGTAGCAGTAATGCTATACAGGAAGAAGTGCTGTTATACGTTTCTAGTCTTTACATGCATATTTAGCTGTAATGCAAGGTCTGCATGTAGAATTAAGATCGGAGTACACGCCTCAGGCTCTCTGGTTCAAATGGTCAGTCCGTTTTATGCCGATTTCACAGGGACTGTTCACTAGTAAAGGAAAGTACTGAAATGTTGGCTTGCTTGCATCAATTAATTCATGAGCACATGTTAACTTAGCTCAACTGGCCATTTCTCTGAGGTAGATGAGTCATTTGTGATTATTTACTCCTGATATAACTAATAGACTACACCTACTTCTACGTGTGTTATATACTGACAGCTGCGAGGCTGCACGTGCAGCTGATAGCATTATTTGGCTATATCAGTTCTTGCACACTGTTGAATAACACGACAAGTTTTGGTTGTGTAAAAGCATCTAGGATATAAATTCACACTGTGTACGTTGAATGGTGTGAGCTGATTGCCATTGCTACTTGGGATGATTGACAGTAAGTGTAACGTTGCTACGACAAGCCATTTCATACGGATGTCTATTTGTCTGCGTCGAAAAACAATTATAAGTCAAACCCTTTGCTTCCAGTGATACTGAAATGAAATTTTTATTATGAGCATTATAATGTTAGCTTTTTATTTCACTCCATGACGTACGTTTCAAAGCTCAGGTAATTTTTATTACTGTATGCTCATGTGTCGATCAATTTGACTAATTTTACTTCACACCTTATCACACGTACACTATGTTACCACTGCCAAGGTATGCATATTGTATACGTTATATAGTGTATTGATAAAACTACAAATTTTTTGATTGTTTTGTATAGTTTTGTGGCTATTGTGATGATTATAGTTTCATAATTATAAGGCTTGATTTCAAATTGGTGGGCGCTCACAGTGGTAGCAATTTTATATAATGTGTGGGTTCCCTGGTAATACAGATAAAGCAAGGTATAACTATCAACCGTGATGTATTGCACATTTATAAGAACATGCTTACGTAGAAAATCGCCTTCTAGCCTTGGAAATTGTGGTGGCGTTTTGGTACATTGGTGTTTTGTACATATTTACAGACACCAAGACAATTGTTCGTTACAATTGTTCGTTACAATGCCCTACATATATGTAGTGGAGATGTTTGGGAGCTGCAGTGATGCATGTAACCATGGTATAACCTGTAACGATTGCACTAAGCTTCATGAGCTGTTTGCGATACCAGTTCCGAGTGTGTACTGGGGAATATACTGCAGTCCTAGAGTGGCTCGGTCTAAGAAGAGGTACTACTTCAGTTAGGAAAGGTTAAATCAAAAGATAACAATTGTCTAAACTAAACTAGTACCTCAATAAACTTGCCGGTGCGTAGTCCCGATAATATCGGGTGTATATAGGACTACATCGTTTAGATGTCTGAAAATTAGCACTGCAGAAGAATGTGCCAGGGTGAAATATTTGCTATTTAAACATGGCTTGTTGTTGATTATTACTACAATTATGTAAATATATTATTTGAAGCATTGTGATTGCTGTTTAGTGTGTTGCGACGAAGAAATAAACACTGAGAAAGGTGAGATGATAATTGTCTTTGCATACTATCTTTAATATCTTTAATCGGAACTACTTTAACAACTTGATGGGAATTACGCTAGCTTATTTCCTTAACAGCAAAGTTTCAGACGGACCTACTGTTTATTGACCATACTGCATTACCATACCAACTGAACTCTACAGTTGGGTGCGCCTGTATTTTTCACAACTCCCAGAATTGCTTTTCATTATCCTAACATTTATTAAATCATGCCAGCTAGTCACGCTCCGCGACTATGTTTAAAAATAACTACTGTCTCATCGGTTCGATTGCAGTTTCTTTCGTCGGCGCCTCACGATTCTTGCCTGCTCTATCTGTTGCTGCTTCTCGTGTATGTCTCGGAAGACCTCGTCCTGGTCCTCTGCTGTCACGGTTGCTCTGTACTGTTTCATGATGTCATACCTGTAGCAGCAAAATGGTACGATTGATGATCGTACAAATTATCTGACTAATGCCCCCTACCAGTATGCCAGAAGTGGTAATTTCCTATTGCAATGGCAATGAATGGTTTTGTTAATGACGATGAGAGACATTTTGCATTTATTTTGGACACTCAGCTACTGTTATAGTAAAGCCTTACTTTTCCCATGGTGTAGCTAGTTGCTTTGCGCGGTCGTAGAACTTCTGAGCTAATCCTAAGTCCTCTACTCCCTTGAGATCCTGTCTCTCATAGCGTTCTAGCCAGGGCCGTGACCGCAACTTCACCTGCATAACGACGAGACAGTAATACCCTGCTATATGGCGATACTTTTTGTGTTGATCCACAAATACACTGTTGATACACCTATATGTCTATTATATATAGAATTCTGCACAGATGACATGAGATTGAACAACTAATTTACATGGAATTTTTACATTACCGCAACATCTAACTTAGTATGTATTTATGTAACTTATTGTATGTAACTTAGTATCTATTAGCACATCGTACCTATAAGTATGCAATGTAACTGAAATACGAAAAGTTTCATCTGCTCCACGATGATTCATTATACGTTGCACTTTTTAACAAGTGCCGCGGAGCGACAGCGCTCATCTCACGTCTACTGCGGTGACTCTGTGGTGGAGTGGTGGGATTCTAGTAAACCCTGTTAGTTCCAAATGTGTTCACATACACGCCGAAACAGTGGAAGGCACAGGGATGGTATCAGGAACCTTCTCAAAGGAATGTTCGTTGGGATTGTTATGAAAGTTGCCACGAGATGGCGCGTACGTTTAAGTGTCTTCAGATTAAAGATGGAAGCTCCCATCGCACGTAGTAGCAACAACTATTTGCAAGACAGAATAGGTAAGCACTCATCCATTTACCTACGCAAGCCTACAGGTTGAAATAGAGAGCTGCCACCTGTAACTAATTAACGCAGGCAAAAACTACACAGTACCACCACCACATGCAGTGGCAGTGGCATACGTTACATGTAACACACTGACAGTACAGAATGCCATAGAAATTATACGATTGAAGGAGCATAAACCTTCTTCAACCAAATTTAGCTTTTGAAATTTCACTGTGACATTGTAGCCTCATACATCCAGGCATGTATAGATTCTACTAGCAACCCGGCAGTCAAATTCTTTCTAACAGTAAACAAATCCATGTTTAACCCGCCTCTTGAGGGTCAAAAGGTTATCCGACACTTACTCTTCGCATGTCAGCAGAAAGTACATTTCATGGTCCTTTCAATAAAGCCATAAAAATGTTAGGTCACCGCTGAAACAAAAAAGTTTTTCAATCGCTCCGTCAGACCATGTCCTCAGAAAATGTCTAAAATCTGCCCTGTGCCCATTGACCTTTGACCTGTGACCTCCAATTTCGGCACAGTGATGGCTTTTCCTACCATGATGCTATACACCGACTATCACGAGCCTAGGTCGAGCCGTTTAGATTTGTGCCGCAATTCTGCATTTCCTCCCTATACCTTAAGTTAAGGAGGGAATGTTCCCCCTTCTTTTACACCTCTTGACCTTTGACCTTTGACCCCCCAGCTTCGACATCCCAACTCGTTTTCGGATTACCCCCCCACGTCCCGACTTTCGAATCCGTACGTCGAGCCGTTTAGATTTGTGTTCAACTGTTGACGGACGGACGCACGGACGATCATGCGATTCTACTAGCTGCATCTGACTTCGTCAGATGAGCTAAAAATACAGACATAATATAATATGGTATGAACCCAAGTATAGGGCATATATGAACCTAACACACATTAAATTCATGATTACAGGGTATAACTGCATGCACACTCACAGTGTACACTTATAGTGGCACTGCCAAAAATGTAGTGATAACAATCGAAGATAGCAAACCTCCGCCACAGCTTAAAGATGCATTCCCACGCATATTTTTGTGACAAACCACTGTAAAAACGTAAGTAAATAACTTACTACACTTTAACTGAACGTTAGCTTTGAAAATAAAACTGTAAAAATATGTATCAAGCCTATATTCGCTCAACGAAAAACCAACTCGAAAAACGTGTTTCGCCGCGGTTCTGTATTATGGCGACAAGAGTCGACGCAGGTCACGTACCAGCACAGCCATAGATATTATATAACACGTGTTATATGATATCTATGAGCACAAGCTGCCTTCATGACCTTCAGCACTTGGCAACACCACCTGATTTTATGTTTGCTGCTTGAGGCAAGTTCGAGGCAGGGCACCTTTAACAGTCCCCCCATATATCTATATATAGCTATCGATCTAATTTGTAGTTGGGTTTAACGCAGCGGCGACACATCATAAACCTCTACAGAGAGAGAAAGCGAAAGCGTAACGAAGCGTGGCGGTTAGAGAGTAAACCGCTACACTATATACCATCAATGATGAGAAATCCTTCAAAAAATTCCTGGATCCAGATCTGGTTTCTGAATCACGACCAAAATCTAATCGATTGGTTCTTGGCCCAAGACCAACCCGTCCCAAAAATTTCATCAAAATCCGTCCGTTGACTGTTTGAGATATCCTGTTGACAGCCAAACAAACCAACCAACAAACTATCAGGAGCGAAAACATAACCTCCTTGGCGGAGGTAACTACACAATATGTAGCATACCTTGAGTGGATTTATAGGAACGTGATCTCCTGCTACATGTGGAACTTCTGCCATATCAAAGTCGAAAGTGCTATACTCGTTTGGAGCATCTCTCAAGTACAACAATGACTCATCCAATCTCTTCTCGAGTTTCAACATTTGAATCTCTCGTATCATTGGGCTGTACATCTCATACATGATCTCAATGCCTGTAAAATCAATCATTATATATTCTGGTCACCGACATATATTCTGGTCACCGACATGACATTTTAGGCCACACACTAACTGTCAGGGGTAAACAATCAAGTGTTAGTCTCGAGCCTTGAATTTATTTAACAAGTGTAGCCATCATGACTCCATTGCATATGAATAATACCTGCACAAGCAGATGCAAAGGGGCATGGAAAATGTAACAATGAAGTTCATTTGTTCTTAATAACTGGCCAAATTTGCCACACTACAGATAATGAGAGCCTGCTTTTAAATATCATATAAATATTAGACAACACAAGAAAGTTAATTTGTATTTGTAGAGACTTACCTTGGTCATCTATTACATTTCGCAAGATAAACCAAGCACGCAGGCCACACCCGCCTCGATCTATGCAGATTCCCACAAACCGACTTGTATTTCCTGCTGCATATTTGTCTGACGCAGTCACTGCCAATATGCTACCTAAAATTCAATTTATCAAATTCATGCATGACCACAAGCTTTTTTGTACTTTTTGCAATGTTCATGTCCCTTTAATTGTTAGGATGCAATTGATGCGAAGAAAACTGGCTACATGACACCAGAAGTAGATAATAGGGAAGGAGTGTGACTTCAATAAACATGGGAAATCCGTCATTTACTATCCTTAGAATACCTACGATTTACTACACGTAACTCAACCAACTTGAGCTCAAATCGTACACAGTACATTCGCTTAGCATCGTGCGAAATCGTTTCCTCGTATACACCCGCAATCCGGAGATACAGACTAAAACGTACACGACTCTCCATTCTGTTGCCAGCAAAACGAATCCATAACCCGCCTGACTTGAAAGCTACTAACGACTCTTGCGCACTCTTGTCCCCTCGGCGATGCGGTGTGGTTCGCTGGGAGATTGGACATCAACGCAACACTCGGCGAGCTAATCTTTGACCTATTTACAGCTGGTATGCCCCCCACGCACCAGTGTTGTAGGTCGCAAGGCCGGTCTTGGCCTCGAGACCGTTTTCCTTGGTCTCGGTCTCGGTATTGGCCTCGGAGTGCAATGACACGGACTCGGACTCGGACTCGAGCCCTCCAGACTCGAGGACTCGAGTCGAGGCCGGCTCGAGGCCACTACATACATAGTACACAACTGTACATATTGTAACACGCAGTTTACAAGAATTTAAAACCAAAACTCCTAGGTTTTCTAGATACACGGCCTAATCTTGTAACGTTTTCAATGGCTCGATTAAGATTCTTGTCCCTTTGGTTTGAATCTGCTATCACTTCGTCCCTTCGCTTTTTCTACCACTTCTTTCTCTTCTTCTACCACTTCGAAGGTACTAGCACTCTCTCATTTGGTTCAACAAGCCGTGTCATTCTCGTAAAACACAAATGGATCCGTTACTTTGACACGTTTCGTATGACTCGTGTCTCTGTGTTTTCGGCTGACTATACACTTTCGAATGTCTGCGATACACTGTTGCGATTTTGTCCCTTTTTTCCATTTTTCCCGATTTTTTCCCTTTTTTGTTAATCAAAACTGGACTCGGACTCGGACTCGGACTCGGACTCGGGTGGTGTGGACTCGGACTCGGGTGGCGCGGACTCGGACTCGGACTCGGACTCGGGGGGTGCGGACTCGCACTTGGAGTCTCGGGGGGTGCGGACTCGACTCGGCAGACGGAACACTGCCACGCACGCACGCCAACCGCAATCAGCAGCAGCTCCAGCTCCAATCTCCCAGCGAGCCACACCGCATCGCCGAGGGCACAAGAATGCGCAAGAGTCGTTAGTAGCTGCCTATTGTTTCAAGTTAGGCGGGTTATGGATTCGTTTTGCTGGCAACAGAATGGAGAATCGTGTCGTACGTTTTAGTCTGTATCTCCGGATTGCGGGTGTATACGAGGAAACGATTTCGCACGATGCTAGGCGAATGTACTGTGTACGATTTGAGCTCAAGTTGGTTGAGTTACGCGTAGTAAATCGTAGGTATTCTAAAGCTAGTAAATGACGACTTTCCCATGTTTATTGAAGTCACACTCCTTCCCTATTATCTACTTCTGATGACACCAAACAGTTCTCCTTACCGACATAAAACTCGGGGATTTCGAGAACGCTACGTCGATTCATCATGTCGTTTCTCTCTAGCATCTCGCAAACTTTGTTTCGTCTTGTAGAATCTGGATTGGGCAGAATCTCCGGAAATATGTACCTGTTTGATATTTAGCAATGCTCGTGTGACACCAATGTCAGACTTGTAAAGTGCATGACCACATTCACTTACACATGTTGCTAATAAATTTAATCAAAATAGGTAATAATTTAGTTGAAACAGGATGGAATACATGTAGCACTTTTAGTATTAGTTATTGTAGTTATTTTATGTATGTTTATTTTTCTTCTTGCATGAAGAGTACCGAAGTCAATATGCATATCCATACTTAAATGTGTCCCTGCAGAGTATTCTCATTTTCTAGTGGTGTTATATGTACACCTTGCACGTACACGTCGCATAAGCATAGATATATACCTATAATGTGCTTGTGCATTGCTCAACGTTTCATTATGGCTTTCTACGACATCTGGTTCCGGATCAGACCTTGATGGTGCAACATCTGAATATCTCTTTAGGCTTGCATTGCAAAAAGCCCCTAGAATTCACAAACAATTTATTATATACTAATTATATAGAACCTCACACTACTTATTAAACCCTTATGTATACATGGGATAAACCCAGGTACAGTATACAAGCAGGTACAGAACATATATATATATGTATCTCATAATGGGGCATGTCATTCAGCAGAGCATGGCACTTACACATCCAAGTTTTTTTATACATTCACTGCTAGTATATATAGCTATTACTATTAGCTGTTACTTGCAAACACCAATTTTTTGGTTACGCATATGCCAGAAAATTGCCAAAATAACTCTAAACCATTCCCTTTGTGTGCTGCCGTGTACGTTGCTGTTACATTTTTTTAATTGGCTAGCCTACACTGTGGAAGAAAATATAAAATTGTACATGTATGCCTAGCTCTGCGCTATAGCCCTTGGCTATGCCATCAGGCCTTGTGGTGTAGTGAAAGGCTATAGTGTATAGCTATCATACACCATGCATGTACCACATACTTAATTGCTGTACGTATGAAGATAAGATATGCTGGTTGGGAGTGCCATGATCTGCAGAATGGGTATTGAATAGGGATTATAGCCAAGGCCTAGAGTTAAACTCCCGAAAATGATCATATGATCTGTGCATTAGATCATAACCTCATAATGATTAGTCTTCAAAGTCAAATGGACCATATCGAAGACAGCGAGAGACAAAATGGAACAAATTAAGCAGTCTTCCACGATTCCAACAATAGTTGGAAAGTGGCGTCACCCGCAGCCAGTGCAGGAACATAATAATATTGAACATTATTAATATAATAATAAATTAAATAATAATAAAATTACGCAGTGGCTATTTAGTACGTTTTAGTCTGTATCTCCGGATTGCTTGTGTAAACGAGGAAACAATTTCGCACGATGCTAGGCGAATGTACTGTGTATGATTTGAGCTCAAGTTGGATGAGTTACGCATAGTAAATCGTAGGTATTATAAGGCTAGTAAATGACGAATTTCCCTTGTTTATTGATGTCACACTCCTTCCCTATTATCTACTCCTGATCTATATAATGGCCTTGAATATGGGGATATAAATAAAGGGGAGTCCATTGAAGACTGGAAATGTGACGATCCCAAGTTACTTAAAATTGCTTACGGCCACGTGAGGAAATTACTAAAATATAGGGATCAAAGAATAAGATTAGCAGAATTAAATGCTGGAGGTACAAATTAATGAAAATGGTGAGATGAAAGTTCGCATTCCCAGAATATCCTCGCACCTTCACCAGAACTGATGCCTTGTGTCAGTTGTGAAATACAAGAGTGGGACACTATACGATACGATACGAAGATCACTGTGTGAGATGGCTGTCCGGACGCTAGCTCCAAGAAATGGTATTGCTATGGTTAGAATATGTATAGACAATCCGTCGCACAGCCTGGTCGGGCTATCCGGACGAGTACGTTACTACGTAGCCTAGCGGCTCCTCGTCCGGAACCGGTCGCGTAGCCACGGCCATAAAATAAATACCATAACTTAAGTGGCCCAAGAATAAAGAACATGGGTCCCAATAAAACCAATGTGCCTAACCCTAACCCTAATCCTAACCCTAACCCTAACCTATCATATTGATATAATATTATATTTATATTGATGTAAATAACATTGATTTTATAGGGACCCATGTTCTCTATCCTTGAACCACTTAAGTTATGGTATTTATTTTGAGATGTGGTAATGGGCAGCGGTTACTGGATTTCGTCGAGAACAACAGTCTAAAAATCTTAAACGAGGATAACAGATGTAGTGGGAAATGTACATGGAGCCGCAACAACCTCCGGTCAATCGTGGATTATATGCGCTAACAAATAGAAAGGCAGATAAGAAAATTGATAAAATTAGGATTTTTGACGCTGGGGAAATCGACATTAACTCTGCATATTTCCCCATGATAATCTACTTAAATATTAAGATGAGTAAGAATAAGGAAGTCCGGAAGACAAGTAAAAGTAGATTATGGAAACTCAGGGATGCGAACTGGGAGAGTTTTCAAATGGAATGCGATAATAAATTTAGGGAATCTGAGGAGCTACTTGAGCTTTCTCAAACAGTAGAGGAATTAGAAAGAGAGATCATTAGAGTCCTAAATGGGGTGGGAGGGAAAAGTGTTGGGAAAACATCAGGCAAGGTAAGACTGCAGAAGGATAGACTGTGGTTTGATGGGGAGTGCAAGAGAGCCAGACAGGATAGACAAGCAGCCTGTAGAATTTTCAAGAAGATGGGGAAGAATTTTCTGGAGGGGAAGCCCTCTGGGAAAGAAAAATTGAAAGAAGCAAAATTAGTGTACCATAGGAAAAAAGAAATAGCAACAAAAGTTTTTGAAAATAAACGAGCGGATTTTGAAAAACAACAGGTTATAAATATAAAATCAGCGGGTAGAGAAAGTACTAAACGCTTTTGGGAGCGAATTAGAAAGGAAGAACCTATACGCGACGGCATAGTTAAAATAAAAAAGGAGGATGGGTGCGTCTTGAAAAAAAAGGAGGATATAGAAAAAGAACTCACGGGTTTCTGGCGAAAAATCCACCAAGGCTCTGGCATCTCAGTTGGCCCCCAGGAGTCCCAACCAAGTACATATAGACCTCATATAGATAGTAGAAATACTTTGTTAAGTATAATAACGGTAGAGGAGGTGCAGCTTAGAATTAAGCTAAGTAAGCAGGGCAAGGTCTGTGGCTTTGACGAGGTACCAAACGAATTTCTAAAGTCTGGGGGGAAATTCCTAGTCAAAGCACTAACGGTCCTCTTTAATAAAATTCTACAGTCATTGGAGTTCCCAGATTCATGGAAAAAATCAAAGGTATCATTAGTTTATAAGGGTAAAAACCTGGATAAACAGCTTCTGCAAAACTACAGACCTATTACCTTAACGAGCAACGTGAGTAAGTTATTTATGGGAATTATTAGAGATCGACTTGTAAAATTGTTAGAAGACTCAAATATTTTGGGGGAGTTACAGAATGGATTCAGAAGGGATCGGCGCACGGGGGATAATATATTTATAATAACCCAATGCATTCAGCAGGCGAAACATGTAAGAAAACCATTATACCTTGCATTCTTGGACTTTGAAAAAGCTTATGATTGGGTGGATAGGAATAAATTACTAAGGGAACTAAGAAGAATAGGTTTGGGTAATGGGTTCGTTAAGCTAATGGAGTCTATGTACAAGAACAATGAATCAAAGATAAGTTTGGGACTGTTTGAATCGGATTGGATAGCATCTAATGTAGGTCTGAAGCAGGGTTGCCTTTTATCACCAATCCTGTTCGCATTGTTTATCAATGAATTGTCTACTAAGCTCGTAACAAATGCAAATGGATTATGCATTGGAGGAAATAGCTTTCCGGCGATGTTATATACGCGGATGATGTGGTTCTGCTAGCAGAGAATAGGAGTATAATGGAAAGTATGCTGAGCATTGCCGCAGACTTTGCAGAAAATTTTGGAATGGTTTTTGGAGAAAACAAATCCCAAATCATGATTCTCAATAAGCCGACAGAGGAGCAACAGGGTGTCTGGAAACTGGGGGCAATGAATTTGCAGCAAGTATCTGAATACACTTACCTGGGGGTAAAGCTTAGTGACAATATCGAAAACTGCTTACAACAGCATGAGGATGATATACGGAAAAAAGCAAGAAAATACAGGGGAGCAATAGCTTCAAAGGCATTCTATAGTTTCAATAGATATTGGGTGGGTATAGCCTATAGGGAGCTTTGGAAAGCAGTTGCAGTGCCTGCTCTGACGTATACAAATGAAGCCCTAGTATTTAAAGTTAAAAAAGGAGGAACGTCCATGCTCCAGGCACTAGACAGGATGCAAAACCAGCTGGGAAGGGAGTTACTGGGGGCACCCTCTTATGTGGGACTGGAGAGTATTAAAGGGGAGATAGGATGGTCAACTTTTGAAGAGAGAGAGGCAAAAAGTAAAATTAAATATTGGGGCAGGATAAAATATATGAATAATGAACATAAATGTAAACAGATAGCGGAAGCAATGGAATTGGGAGAATTCAGATCAGACTGGAGGAGGAGAACTAGGTTCCTCATAACAAAGTTTGACTCGGATAGGAGTCTAGACGAAGAGTTAACGGGGGGGGGGGGTATTAAAGAATGGAATGTTAGAGTGGAAAGAGCAATTAAACAGTGTGGTACGTTCTACCATCTGGAAAAAAAAGATAGAAAACAAGAGTTCGCTAGCATTGTATAAAGAAAAAAAGATGCCTGGTAAAGAGTCCTTTTATGATAATAGTCTTGGGAGTAGCCTGCTCTTTCAATGCAGGGCGGGGTGCTTGCCATTGAATAAACGAACTAGACACTGGGGGGGCGAAGATAAATGTTTAATTTGTGGAAGAGGAGAGTTGGAGACCCTGGAGCACTTTTTACTGGAATGTCCTGGATATGAAATCCATAGAAAAAGTTTTTTTAATGTGATTAAACGTAGAACAGGTTTGGAGACAACAGAAACCTCACATGATATGCAGGAGGAGCTCTTGAAAACTCTCCTGGGTTTTAGGGTTGGCAGCAGTCTTATTGGTAATATTATTATAGTTCAGCTTACTAAACAGTACCTGGAGATACTTTGGGGAGCTAGATCAGCTGCATTCATAAATCTATAAGGGGACACAGAATGGAGGGGGGGGGGTAAGGGGGGTACTGTTCACAGTTCACAGTAAAAATAAACTGCTTTTCACATTTCACAGTGAAAATAATGCTCTTTTCACAGATCACGGGGATAATCCAGTTTACAGCTAAAATTTCAGACTCATAAGATAAGGTCATAGAAGTATACAAGTGTATTTCTTGACTAACAACACTTCTAAAAATCAAAAATACGCTTGCACAGTAGTCATGCTTATACATGTGTGTGTGTGCGTGTGCGTGTGCGTGTGCGTGTGCGTGTGCGTGTGTGTGCAGGGGCGTATACAGGATTTGAACCAGGGGGGGTCTAACCGTAACCCAAACTTGCGAGCACGCGAAGGGGGGGGGGTCTGGGGAAATTTTTGAAATTAGACTCCCTTATATGCGTTTTCTGCGCGAGCAAGGTGGGGTCCGGACCCCCTGGACCCCCCCCCTCCTGTACACGCCCCTGGTGTGTGTGTGCATGTGTGTGTGTGTGTGTATGTGTGTGTGTATATATATATATCGTTTCCATATGTTCTTCTGCAGCTGGGAGGGTCCGGGGGCATGCCCCCCGGGAATTTCTTAAAAATTAGGCTATATTTGGTGCATTCTGGTGAATTTTGAGGCCCGTGCAAACCGGCCTAAATCCGCGCCTGACATGCATGGATTCACGAGGAAAGAGACCTCTTAAAATCTTATTCACAGTTCACAGACTAAATAAAAGCTAAATCACGCTTCACGCAAGGTGGTCCATTCACAGTTCACAGACAAAATAAATTGCAATTCACAGTTCACGAGGTATAAAAACGGCCGATCACGTTTCACGAAAATACCCTTACCCACCCTCAGAATGAATTATCTCTTTTCCTTTAAAAAAAAAATTCTTTGCAGGGAAATACCGACCAGGCTCTCCGACTAGTTACACGGCCACGTAGTGTTAAGCGAGATGGGAACTTGTGGCTAACCCTAACCCTAACCCTAACCATAACCCTAACCTATTATATTGATATAATATAATATTTATATTGATGTAAATGACATTGGTTTTATTGGGACCCATGTTCTCTATCCTTGAACCAAGGTTCCCAGTCATACATTACATACAATACATACATACATACATACATACAGTTACTATTATATACTAATACTTAAAACGCGGGTGTACTGTACTATACCGTCTGTGCATACAGTCGACAATCGACAAATTTTTGTATTATTAATATTAACACGAGTAATCTGCCTTGCTAATGCTATGGAGGCTGCCATATTTCTCGGAGTTGGTCGCCAATAGATGGTCACCACTGATATAACTATCAGTTAGAGATCAGTGATAGCCACCTGATGTGTAAAAGTTTTGCGAATAGTAACCACTCTAATGAGTGTCACGTGTGGCATCAACTCCGTATTTGTTGAACGCTTAGACTGGGTCGCAGTCTGATTTATGTGTGTAAAAGGTAATATAAAGTGAATGGGCATCGTACCAGTCTAGTGATGTGCTTGGCGATTTCGGGCGATTTAGCGCCGAGCCGCCGACGCATGGGCGAACGTTTGACAGTGACGGGTGAGTTTATGATCATTTATGATTTTAATTTGTTATTATGGTATTGTTAATGTTAGCGAGGATATTGAGGGAACCGTGTGTCCTGTAACCTACGTTGCCTAAAAATCACACCCCTAACCCTGACCGTAACCGGCAGAATTCCTAATCCAAATCCGAGTCACTGATACTGTGACACTAGAGCTGATAGAGGGTCTATGTCCCCCGGGGTACTGCCGGAACGTACCCTGGTACTATCTAATATGCCGGACCGTACCTCGCCTACTCCACTAACGAGTCTAGGGAGTCGCCTACGTCTACTCCCTAACCCGAACCCGAACCCTAACCCTAATCCTAACCCTAACCATAATCCTAACCCTAACCATATCAAATAGTGACCAGGGTACGTTCCGTCAGTACCCTGGGGGACATATAGACCCTATGAGCGTCACTAGAGCTGATAGGGTCTATGTCCCCCAGGGTACTGCCGGAACGTACTCTGGGTACGGTTCGGTATACCGGAACGTACACTGGTACTAAATACTAGTATCTAATATGCCGGACCGTACCTCGCCTACTCCACTAACGAGTCTAGGGAGCCGCATACGCCTACGTACTCCTTAACCCTAACCCCAACCCCAACCCCAACCCTAACCCTAACCCTAACCCTAACCCTAACCCTAACCATATCAGCTAGATAGTTACCAGGGTACGTTCCGGTATACCAGACCGTACCCAGGGTACGTTCCGGCAGTACCCTGGGGGACATAGACCCTATGAGCGTCACTAGACTCGCGGCTATAATAACGCCAGGAGTAGATAATAGAATATATCTTCTATTATCTACTCCTGATAACGCGTATATAACCGTACGCGGGCTATAGTTACTATACTAGCTCTCGTAACTGTACGCAGGCTATAGTTACTAGAGCTAGGGCTTGCATAGTGCTAACCTGTAGGCCTATATGTTATTGTTAGGGCCTATGTTCTGCACGGCTACACTAACGCCTGTAATACCCCCGTCACACCATGGCCCCGATCTCACTACGCTCGTATACTACGCTCTAAGAGTGTGGTGGAAACGTGTAGAACGCAGTATGAACGTCTATGGACGTACTGCGATCGCGATTGAGCGCGGTGCAGTCACCATGAGCGTGGAGAGCGTGGCCAAACTTTGAGCATGTTCAAAAACAATCGTGGTGCGAGCGTGGCGGAAAGACAGCGCAGTGAGACTGATTACAGCGCGTATTATAGACGTGGAAGGCATAGTACCCACGTAACTCGAGCGTAGTACAAATTTAATGATCGTATCGCAAGCGTGTCGGTTGCGTGAAAAATCGCGTCGCCCCGTTCTCAGCACGATGTCAATACGTTTTCATCACGCTGTTACTACGTCCATGGAGATGTCTCTGCGACCTGACCACGCTCTGGCTATGACCATGGTGCGTCTCTAGCAAGCTTGACCCATTCATACTACGATTGTACTACGCCCAACACGCTCAGACCATGCTGTTGTGGCGTTCGCATTACGTGTTAGTTGCGTCAATACCACGCTCAGATCACTTCCTACGAACTTGGGGTATAAATTGGGGTGCTACCCTGGCCACCCCACCAGTTCAGTGTCCACTATGGATGAGGCAACACTACTCCCTGCCATGTTTCTCGTAGAAGGACAACTCAAATTACTTAATTGATTACCAAGCCCTAATCATGCTGAGGAGGATAAGGAGGATAAATAGAAGACAACGAAGATCTTGCTGGGTGCGTCCGTGGCTTTCGGTAGAAAGACGACTTCTCTATGGTCACTATGATCGCCTCATGGCTGAGCTTCGCATGGAAGATCAAGCATCCTTCTTCAACTTCCTGAGGATGCTTCTGGAGATGTTCGATGAATTGCTTGTCAGAATTGGGCCGAGAATCCAGAAGCAGGACACCCGATACAGAGAAGCACTTGAACCAGAACTGAAACTGGCAGTCACCATAAGGTATCTAGCATCGAGTGATAAATATCCCTCACTTCAGTATGACTTTAGAGTGGCCCGCAACACCATATCGCTGTTGGTTCCAGAGGTGTGCCAGGCTATTGTAGAAGAACACAAAGAGGAGGTCATTTTGTGTCCTACGATGCCAGAAGAATGGCATGCCATTGCCGAAGATTTCCTGAGAAAATGGAATGTGCCCCATGCCTTCGGTGCCATCGACGGAAAGCATGTGGCCATCAGATGCCCACCGAACTCTGGCTCATTGCATCATACTTATAAGGGCTTCTTTTCCGTGGTGCTCATGGCTTTGGTGGATGCCATGGTAGTTATATGGTCGTTGCCAGCGCAGTCGGCGCCTGACTAGAGCGTGATTAAGTCGCACTAGGAGCGTGACTGGCGCGCAGTTGAGGCGCGGTGAGCATTGCTTAGGCGCAGTGCAAGCGTCGTTCGAACGCAATGCGATCTGATTGGTCGCAATAAAGACGCAGTGAGCGCAGTGCAAGCGTGATGCGCGCGTGGTGTTGATCGTGGTATGGAGCGTGGTGAAAGCTTGTTGGGCGCAATGAGATCAGGGCAAAGACGCACTTAGATCGTAGTATCGACGTAATTAGACCGTAGTATTGCCGCTGGGCCCGGCTGGGGCCCAATTGGCCACGCTCTCACCATGCTCAAGCAAATTTTTTGAGCGTGGGGCAATCGTGATGAGCGTAGCTCTAGTGTGACGGGGCCTTAAGCGAGCGCCGCGCCAGCGGTTTGCGAGCTTCGTTATCGATTGACCGAAAACAGTGTTTGACTTATGGCGGGGAATCGGATTAGCGGCGAGCAATCGAGCGTACAGAAGTAAATACGGCAAAACTTCGCCCCAGGCGAATACCTGATGAATGGAAACAATCTAGTAAATGGCTTTGGCAGAAGCGTGCACTAATTGCATTTATAAATTCAACTTGAATAACTTGAGAAATGACGTCAGGCAAAAGCCTGCTTGCTGATTGGACGACTTAATCACAGTCGCTGCAACCTGCTCACTCATTGGCCGGTCTGGCTCAGTCAGCAGCCACCCACTTTCATATAGTAAGGGGTTAACGCTCTGGTGAGTAGGCCCTCTAGCGGTCGTTACGATTAGGAGCGGTAATCATTAACGTTAGCATAGTGCATACCTCCCAAAGTGACCGACCGATCGGAGCGCTCGCAGCTCCTCCCAAAGTGACGTGTTGTCGACCGACCAATCGCAGCGCTCGCAGATCAGCCTCAGGCACTAAAAATCTAAAAAACTAAAAACTAAAAAGCTGATGCGATGTTTTGTGGTTGCATTATTTAAGCTGGCTATCGTGAGTGGATGGTTACTGGCAGTGGTAAGGGTTAGGGTTAGGGTTAGGGTTAAGGTTTAGCTTTATATTTATCAGCTTTAGTGCCTGATCTGCGAGCGCTCCGATTGGTCAGTTGACGACGTGTCACTTTGAGAGGTATGCAGGTCCTAGCTGCGTGTTGTCACTGTAGTCACTACTACTACTACTACTACTACTACTACTAGTACTAGTACTAGTACTAATAGTAATACTAATATTCTGAACAAATTTTGCAAATGGGTATTGGGAGTTAGAACTAAAACTTCCAACATAGCCGCCAAAGCTGAGCTAGGAATGTTCCTCTTATTACACAATATAGTTCTTCAAGTGGCAAAATTCTGGCACCATGCAAAATTTACAAGTCCTAACCCCCTCCTGAAGGATTCTATTCAATTCTACAGTGACATTCCTGAAGGCATTACTTATAAGACTTTCACAAATTGGTCAAAAATAGCAACGTACTTATTTAGAACTTATAGCAAAAAAACACAATCTGGAAGTGCAATTCTAATCAAAACTACATGAAACCATACTCAACATAAAGAGAAACTTGCAACAAAAATATACCACCATGTTCTTTAACGACCTGAATGATGACAACAGAAAAAAAGGAGGGTCAATTCTCAAACAAACTAAGATTTTATAGACAACTTAAAACAAAATATGAACCTGAACCATACCTATTAAATTTATATTCAAAACAAGCAAGAAGAACACTAACTAAACTAATTAAGGCTTAGCGATCACAACCTATGGATTGAACAAGGCCGTCACCAATCCATCCCTGCTAATCTTAGATTCTGTTCCCTATGCAATAACGGGTCAATAGATGATGAACTCCAACTACTTTATGACTGCACTGCCACCAACCACATCAGAAAAAAGATAGAAGACAAATTTATACACTTTACATTCATAGGCAAATCATCCATAGAATGGTTATTCATCACAAATCATGTGGCCGATCTCCTCAAACTCTCAAAGTTTATCGAACACGTGTTCATTCAAGTTACGACAAGATTCACTAAAAACATAAATGGTGAGATATACAAATAATAAATTAAATCACACCACATATCCTAAGCTAAATACAGAGAGGGTTAGACCAACAGTCGGGCTTTACTAATCCTACATCTGTACTCAGGGCGCCTGCAGTTTCCGATACCAAAGGTTACTATCTGCGGCAACTGATACCACGCGATACTTACCGCGATAGTCTACTCACATGAATCTTGTTCGTTTATAGCATAGTTTAGGAGTTTGAATTTTATTACACTAGTTTGAAGTGTTGTTTTTTTGGTTAGAATAGAACGTTAAATTATGTTTAATAAAAAATATATTATCATGTAATTGTACCATGGGTCATGCAGTCATGTCAAGTAGTATAAGACACATCGTTTCTCTCTTGTTTATATTAGCCTAGAAACTAGTTTTATTGTAGTTTGTAGCCTATTTGCCTGTATGATCTGCGATTATCCGTGCAATTAATAAACTTTATTTGAATTTGAATTTGAATTTGAATAGTAATACTAATAGTATAGTCACCCACCTTAGACCCGATCAGGCGTTAGACTCGGCATGGCTTGGAGTTATGAATGTGAAGTTAGAAGGTTTACTTTCCCAGTTAGTAACCAGTAACGTGGCGTTCATACAGAATCTCCCCTGCACCCCCAAATAAAACGCCTCATGGGAAGTAGGTTCTCCTACACCTTAGTCTAACCTTAACAACCACTATAAAGTGCAGCTAGACTGTATAACCATTACCCTATACCAAATCTGTCCCCAAATCAGGCTCCCTGTAGCCATAGCTTTATATTCCTTTGCTTTTATGTTAAGACTAGCTGTGGGTACCCGCTGCGCTGGGTAAAATCGTGCTACTAATTCATAGTACTATAATAATGGGACAGAATAGGAAGTTAGGAACATTGGGTAAAAATCGACAATAACATTGCAGACAATATTAATATTTAGAAATGAGTGTAATAAGATAATAAGCATGGGGAAAACGAAAAAACTGTTACGTATGACATTTATATGACAGCACAACCGAACTTAGAGCTCCTGGGACATAATAGTAATATATGGTGTAAATGACAAAAAGTTATTATAAGAGAATGTAGGAAATGGGTTGGACTTTTCATTTGAAAGCCTCTTGATAAAGAATGTTTTAATTTTCGTCTTATTCTCTGGTGCAAATATGTAGAGATTCCTGGCGTCTCCAACTCTTGAGCTCCCCACGTACAGCTATCCATTGTGAGATCGTAGCATGAATAAAAGGAATACCATATTGTGGGAAGTGTGTGAAATTCCAGCGAGTGGGGTCT